GTTTCTTTTCAGGTTATTATTTTTATTTGACTGCCGAGTTGGTACCGTCTGTAAGCGTCAAGAGAACGCAATTGTAATTTATTACGTTGAATAAAAAGGGACTTAAACCCTTCACAAGGCTCTATCTTTTATACAAGTTTTCACAGTCACCTCTTGGTTGCGTGCAAGTTGGAGGCGCGCAACGTTATAATGTTGTTAGATTGTGCATGTTTTTCTTTAGAAGTTATTGAATTATATTGTTTTCATGTTCCGATTAAGGTTTTTATGCCTTTAGTTAATCAGCACGCAATAGTTGTAGAATTATCAGCAATTTAGAAGTTGTTTGTGGTAATGAGCCTAACGTGGCTGCCATTTGTTTACATTTGAAGCTCTTAGAAGAATAGTGAAATAAGTCAATCGATGCACTAACTTCAGTGTATTCACTAACTTCAGTTTCGTTGGTTTTACCGAATCATTATCCTCAGCTGCCAAAGCGCAAATGAAAGAAGATATAGTGATTAGTTAAGAGAAGAATGGCTGGACAGGAGTAAAGCTACTGGCGTCATCTGTTGATAACACAAGAACTAAAACATAATTTCCTTAAAAGCTGAAGGCAAAGATGGATTGAAATTAGGGTCGTTAACTAGCACAGAAAAATTTTTTTGAATGTGAAATGTCTTTAGAAAATCTAATTCACCAATAGAAGATGTTTTTCGAAAAATTTTGGCTGCAGAATAAATGTGTTGTTTGATTTCTAAATTAATACGTGTTCGACGTATTATTGTATCTTAATTAACTTCAGTGTATTTTTGTCCAGTGTGGCCAAATGTTAACTTTCAGTTTTGCGCACCTAAAGTTTCGTCTTTCTGCCTGCTGGTCAAATTGCCTGTTTTTGCGTAAAAAACTCTAATTTTAATTATAAAAACCGTTTTTATTTATTCTAACTGTATTTAGTATTTTAGGCTTTTTGGAATTTTATAATTTTTAATGAAGGTTGAGTTTTTATGTATTTTTGGCTTGCCGCGAAGTGAGAACTGAACTGATTGGTTTAGAAATATATCTCTAATGAAATTCGAGGAAACATGTTTAAGTGAAATGCAACAAAAGTATCTATAATTTAATAGGCCGTGCAAGAAAGTCATGTGGTGTCCACATCAGGTAATATTTTCTTGAGAATATTTACATACCATATAGATTTCGAAATAATTATTCTCTATTTTACTTCGTTAAAAGCATGTAGATGACAAAAAATATTGAAAATTCGTGCAATACTTCTTAAATTATCTGGTTGTAACGAAAGTTTTCCGCCAAAAAAACGCTCTTAATAAAGTTTAAAAAAACTTAAACCTTTAATGCGGGTAGTAATCACCACCCAAATCTATGAGTTTCTGCCAAAGGTTTGGTAATTTTTCGAAGACTTCGGCTCAAAACCTTGGTGGCTGCGAGCCTCACAACAGATCAACTTCATTTCGGACGTAATGTGCAGAAAGGAAGATAACACCAGCGTGATGTAGGTGCAGGTGTGAAAAAAGGTAGAGGTCTGAAGGTGCGCTGTCAGAGTTATACGGTGGGTGTAGCAAAAGATCTCTTTCGAGTCCGCACAGAGTCCAGCCGGCGAATTCAGACACAAGTGCTCTTGCATTATTTTGATGGAGCATTAATTACCTCTTGCGCCGGAAATCAATTCGACGTTTTTCCTTGACAGCAGAGTCAACATGGACTGGCAATTGGCTGTACAGCTGAACGTCAAGGGTTTTACCTTTTTCCAGATACTCTCTGTGGATAATACCACAGCAATCCCACCAGTTACAAAAATTGATCTTTTTGGCAATCAAATTCAGACGTTGCTTTGCAACGCTGCTAACGATCTCACCGGGAGCAGAAAACCCCCTTTTTGTCCTGTGCTGTTGGTGTAAATCCCCTTTTCATCACAAGTGACGATTTGGTCCAGAATATTTTCCTTTCGTTGATATTCGAGTAGATAAGTGCAGGTCCGAACACGTCTATCCTTATCTTCTTGAGTCAACTCATGTGGAAACCAGCGTATGAACTAGTACGTCAAGTTTATGCGATGCACAGCACGACTAAGGGGCATGATACTGACGTCTGACTCCTTACCAAGCTCTCGAGTGGTTGCCTACTAATCTTCTTCCAAAAATTCTCGTAGGCTGGCCAGAGCGCTCTGCCTTCTCGAATGTCATAGTCCTTGTTTTTGATCTTTCGATACCAAACCTTCACAATGTCATATGATACAGCATTAGTACTTGAAGCTGTATACATGACTTGGTGGCATTCTGTAGCTGACTTTTTGCAACAGAATTGGAAGTAAATGATGGTTCTAATCTGAAAGCGTGATAGTTCTATTTCAGACACCTTGTACTTAATCGTATCGATGTTTTTTTACAAATTTCACAGCTGTTTTTGAATAATAATTTCGAGGCAAGTGTTTCTAAGAGGTGTTCTAAAGTAGTCTCTTTCTTTCAAATGCCAGAACTCGTTTTACAAAACGTAATTAATCACGCCAACGCAAACTGTTTGCGCAGACGATATTTACGGTGGCGGGAAACTTTCGTTAAAAGCCGATAGTTATAATTTACACTCATTCAATGATATTTCTTCTTTATCCAAAAAGTTTTTTTCTTTTTGATTTACAATTTTAAAATTATTGCATGCATTATTTTTCTGAGTATATTATGTTCCCACTAAAATACACACTATAGGAACTATGGTATGATTTTATTACAAATAATTTTATTGAATATTGAAGTGTATTAGTTAATTTTACTGTATATTGTGGCGGGCATTTACAGTTGTGAAATAATACGTAGGCACTGCTTTGATTGCAAATATTAACCTGAATGATCCCATTATCGGTGAGTCTTTCCTTTTATCTCAGGATGGATGTTCTGTAAACTCCACTTTCCCTAAAGTACTCCACGAAGGTAGTGTTATGCAGGAAAATAAAAACTAATAAACCTAACTTTGAAATTACGTTAAGCTAATCTTTCTCTACTGATGGTTCCCTAGAGAAGTAAAAAGAACAAATGCATGCAAGAGTGTACGGCTGTCGAACGTAATGCCTGGCCAAAGCATTACACCTCCCCCACCGTAATGATCTTTTTCCATGATGAAAGAGGGATCTCTCTTGTGTGCTTCAGTGAGAGAGATTCAAACAGCGGCCCTTCTAGCGTACAGGTTTACCTCATGAAACATTTGGACAACTGTAGACTCGAGTTCCAGTGGCAGCATACAGCTAACGTGAGAGCTGTGAAGCTGTAGCATTCCTGTGTCGCCACACGGAAATGCGAAATAAAGATCCTTGTTAATGGTTATGGATTTTCTTCAACCTTGACCAGGTTTTATGGATCCAGAATAAACTGTTTCCACAAATTGCAGATGATACTGGGGTTTACACTGAGCTCTGGTGACACCTCCTGTTGTAATTGGCCTGTCTCCAATCTACCGAAGGTTTTCCATCCCATTCCGTCATCCATACGTTCCTGCCTATTCCTTTTACTTGATACTTGATAAAACTTACCAAACTCTTGTGAGAAACACAGAGAACGTCATGAAGGAATACGAGTACACAAATCCCCGAAAACCTCTCGTGCGCTTGTATCCCCTTCACAATCATAACTCCACAGAGAAGCACGTGCAAGTTTACGGATTAGACTCTGAATATTTCCGTAATTCTTCGGCAATATAATTAGTACCTTTGGTTCTATGCTTTTTTGAAAATAGGCATAATTTGCGAATTGTCTTAATTTTGAACTATATACATTAAATCGTTAATCGGAACATCTAAATGAACACAGTCTCATCTAGCACGTCGTAAAATAAATATATTTCCAGTGTCAATAGAAATTCTAACACTCACTTCATTTTCACACTCCAAAAATTCGCTATCTTAATCGCTGAAATCAACACAAATCACAAGACACTAGAGAAGAAGTGCCATACATAAAGGTCGATCAATAAGTCACCAAGCATCTATGCGGAGTGATTCAGAACCCTTGTTCTCTTTCGAACCCGGAGAAGTACATAAAGATGGAAATTCAATTCTGCCTTTCATGGAAGCTCAAAAATAAAACTCGATGTCCTTTCGTTCGAAAACAAAACCATTCATCTATCAAAACTACGACTTTCAGCAAAGCGAAAGCGAAGCAAACGCGTCGATTAATCTTTCTCTCATGCAACCCCTTAAGATACTCAACATTGACCAAGTAATTTAGCTCCCGCTAACTTCCTGCCCAGTTGCTTAGAATAAACATCCTGTTCCATGTCAGCCTTACCATGTCAGCCTTACACAGAAATTCTCAACGATCAGAATCCTAGAAAAATAAAGAAATAAGGACGTAATAAGGCTGTACGTTCAGCTTCCAAAATTAGATTCCTGCTACACAAATCCAAAAAATTAAGTAAAAAATCTCAATACACAATTCATTTAAATTTATTAACACCTAATTAAAATTAATCATGATAGCTATTTCTGCTAATTTATGTCTTTTCAAGAAAGCTTTTAATTGTAATCTGTCTTTTAGAACAGTGCTCCGCAACCGGTGTGCCATGAGTAGGATATAGGTGTGCCGCAATCAAATACATGTATTTGACATTTTGCAATTTTTTATCATGTATTTAATACACAATGACAATTTTTTTTTCTTAATAATGACTATTTTAAATGTTTTTATATATTTCACTGTTGTGTGGTTGTGTGTGTGATTGTAAGTGTGTCAGCATTTGAATTTTTTCGGCACTTCCTTGATAACTCGGAACTCTTTGGTGTTCCACGAAATTCCAGAAAGATTTTTTGTGCGTCGCAGGTGAGAAAAGGTTGCGGAGCACTGTTTTAGAAGATAATACAGGTACCAGTAGTACCAGGCTTACTGGTACAATAAAGTACCAGTAAGGCTGATACTATTGTAAACAACAGCAAAGTTTTGTTTGATTCTTTACGAACAGTTTAATCTTATAAATGCATCAGGATGGTCAAATTTTTCTTAGACTTCGTTATTTTTTAGGTTTGGAAGTTGAAAGCATCAGCAGCTCGACATGCGTCACCTGTGATTCGCCATCGGGTCTGCCTTACATTGACCGAGTGACTCCCACCGTCACTGTAGCGGTTGTGGGTAATGGCAAAGGAGCCAAGATGTCTGATGAAGTGGGCAGAATAGCAGCACACTTAAGCGTAACAGGGAAGTGGGATTCGGAATTAATGCAATCGCAGTTCAAGGCAATTTTTGCTGAAAACTGAAGTCTTCTGTTAAAAATTACCTGATGATACAAAAAGTAATGACGATTTCTAAAAATAATAATGTAACTATAGATTAAAATAAAGTTATTCTTGAAATGACATTTTCTCTTTTTTATTGCACCTATTTCTCCGCCTCATACGTCTATAAGTTAATTCTTTATCCCTTTCATTATATTACTGTACTAAATCCTTAATCACCTACACGACCGAGCAAATTCCCATTGACAGCTGCTACTATTCCACCTAGCATAATATCTTGAATTTAGCCTTCAAATCACAGGAGGATTTTGCTTACCGGATTCACATTTGGGCCATTTAACATCCCTTGGGATCCAGCTAGTTTACAGGAAGTAACTACAATACAATTAACTTTATTTTCGATATCCTTCTGAATTTAATCTGTAATTTTTATCAATAATCTTTACTGGTTTGCTACCAAATTCTGAAAGAAAAAGAGTTTTATGGTTCACACATGCACACTTAAAAATTATTTTCTTTAAATGCTTGTATCTCATAAATGTTGATTATTTTCATTTGAAACCTTGTAGGGTTTTTCTTAATTTGCATAACAACTTAATTTGCACAACATTCTTAATTTGCATTTTTTCCTGTTCTCAACTTCTCAAACTTCTCTTCACATTCTCTCGCCAGGATGTAAATTTAAAGTTACGTGAAGTGCTATTTAAACGTGTGATATTCTCTGTTCATTCAGAGCGTGTTTCGCTTGCCTAGCGCACGTTTCGTTGTTATTTCGAGGTCACGCTAGTAAGCCTATTGGCCATATCTGTTTAGTATCACGCCGGTTAGATCTCTGTTAGTCCATCTCTTAGGAGTAATTTTGAAGTACATTCTTGCACTCGTTTATTTTTCAGATTTTGATTTGTATTCTAGTCTACGTTAGTTATCGCCGCAAGCGAACGGTGTTTTATAACGCACGAAGTCCGTGCTTTCTGTCAATTTAGTTTGAGTTAATAAAGGGTTATTTTGCACCCGTCTTCTGTGCTGGTATTTAATTTACGCCTGTGCGAGAATTCGCCAGGTACACTGTAGGATCTAAGTTAGTGTATGTGGAGAAGTAGAGATAGATTTTACAACCTAAGTTTAATATTTCTCTTGAACGTTATCACATTTTCTGTGAGTTTTCTTAAATTTGGTTAAACATTCTGCATTTTACAAGCAAAAGCCATCGAAAAACAATTAGAATTTTTAAAAGAAACTTTTACATTTTCTTCTATATGCATGTTATTCTTATGAAGTGAATATGAAAATTGCATATAACTATACAACATTTTACGAAAGTTACAGATCATTTCTTCATTCCATTAAGCAGGGTTGTGTTATTGGTCCCCTACATGTACTCGTGACTAAAATCCTGACTAACCGTTAGTTACAAAGCTACAGTTACAGAAATGTTTTTCAAGCATTTCTCTGGAAAATAAGTTTTTAAGAAAAAAATCTTTAAAATCTAAAGCACTCTTCGGATTTTGTCTATGTATTGCATATATTGTTTTTCATATATTTTAAAATGCTGGAAGATTAAAAACTTTAAGACTGCCTATTAATTTTCTATTTTTTTAATCATTAAATGCCTTCATTTTTATGTTTAAAGTTTCCCCATCAAAACATGATTTAAAATCTAACCTTTTATGTACATAATGCACAGGCTATGTGCATACTTCTACTAAAACCTCATGAAATGAAAACAATCCTTTAAAATCAACAGTTACTTAATAATAATTTCATTGTTGTTTGCAAAATAAAATTGTAACCTAAACAATAATTTCTGTCATAAATAATTTTAATCTAACAGAGGAATGTAAAAAATAATGAAAGAATGGTGCAACATAACTAAAGGACATTTTTTTTTTTTTTTTTTTTTTTGCAAAATAAAATTACTAAAACTAATACTTAGATAGATTCATGTCATAGTATTTCTTCACGCTTCCTTAGATTAGGAACCTTAGATCAGGAGTATTTGTAATGCACTGAACTATGGTTGGCAGTATGTCAGCAGTTCAAAATCTCAATAACTATTTAGCTGTCTGTTATTCAGCTATTACTAAATACTAAATTCGAATCTGCATGGACAGATTTCTAAAATATGGAATTCCTTACATCCCGGATTAGAGAGCAGGGTAAATAAAAATACGAACCTTGTATTTTATATTAAATTTCTATTTACCATTCTGCATATTTTTTATTTCAATATAGATTTCATAATAAAAGTGAATCCTTATAAATAAATTATATTAATGTAATTCATAAAACACTCACTGATGAATAATATTTATATCACTATCGGAATAATCCATTAATTACTGCAAACTCTTAACTACTTGACAACAACTTGACTTTTCTCATTTATTTTGCGAGTTGCAGGCTCTCTCTTCATGCGAACATTTATTTGGGGTCCCCCATAATTAAGCAAAGCTTGAGAGGAAAACTTGCTCATTTCTTGTAAATGAATAATTGAATACATCTTAATTTAGAAATTAGAAGATTTCATATTGCATAGTTACATTACTTTACCCATTTGATTTAAAAAAGAAAAAAATTCAAGGATTAAGAAAATCTGTGCATTCGATTTATAGTGGAATGGAACGTGAGCATTACGATCTCGGAACATATTACAGAGCTAGTATAGACGCACAGAGCTCAAGAATAATATCTTGACATGTAATGTAAACCGTCTATCCGAAATATTCCGAGTCTGAATTAATGGAAACTAAAGATGAACGGTTTAAAGTTTAAGGTGTTCTGTATAATCTGCCCCTACATGAGTACAACGCAGAACGTTCATACCATATCATACCATATGAAATACCATATGAAATCGTCATAAAAGTTTTTGTTCGGAATGTTATTCAACTGTGGCTTGAGTGTGGGTTACAACGTCATAGCATTGGCTTTTCATTGGAAGTTTGATTTTAAGGAATGAAAAAGAATCATTCGGGGCCAGTTATAGAGAGTCGTTGAGAACAGGCGTGCTTTTTTTCGCTAGGAAGTGCACCATAACTCCAGCCGTGTGAGGGGAAGCATTGTCATGCGGCAAGAAGTAATCCCTCTTCTTCCAGCGTCCCAGATGAACCCTCTGAATCCTCTTGCACAAGCTATCCATTTAACCAGGGATTTATAGTAGTGCCAGCTACCATAGTTACATCCTTCATGTCGCTTACATGCCAGAGAGAAAATCTATTTCGTAAATTTTCGGACAGATGGTGTATGAGATGCATATCAACTTGTATTCATCAGCATTCTCGGAGTTTATTAGTTTTGACTGTAATTAAGGAAAAGCAAGAAGGCTATTTTTCTAAACTTCATTTTAAGTTTTACCGGGTATAATTAGAGAGATGAATCGAAGTATGTCCACGGGCTAAACTTACTCAATTAAAGAGAAGTCGAGCAGTTAGGAAAGGATTTGAAGGAATTGATATGAAGGAACTATGGCAGATCTGTGATAAATGTGGCTAGTGCTGCCCAGACGGTAACTGCAATATCGATGGACCTGTGTTCAAATCATTGAGAAGGCACGGATGTTTGTAAGCGTTTAGAGTGTCTGTGCAGCAAGGGGTACTCAAAATACACGGCGAGCCAAAAGTACGCTCGAGAAGTCAGTGGTAAGTGAAGATGCGTGAAAAACCGTATAAAGGCTCCCTCCAGGGTATTCTTACACAAAATTAGGGCGGAAGCTTAGTAGTTAGCAAGACTCCGAGGTACCTAATGTATATCGGTGCCCTCATAGCCATATGGCAGGTTTCGCCTGTTAGGTGGGCTGGGGTCAGTGCTTAGAGCTAACTAACCTAATGTATACCTACCGGAATTCAAATGTGTTAGCCTTACTTAAGACTACAGATATGGATATTAAAATATAGCCTAGGATATTGTTATACGAATTGCAATAGAACTGATCTAAACATATCGCTGACATAATTTATTTCTATAAGCTAACATAATTTATTGCTGTAAACTATAGTAGTAAAGTTGTGCTTGCAGTAATATGGCAATATTTCTCAAGTAATTCTTTCAAGTATAGGGAGCATATGAAGCCACAACAGAAACAGTGTCTATGACTGGGTTAGGGGGTGCAAAAAGAATAATCACAGGCAACTCACACCTAGTGAAAAACGTTTTTCATCTTAGCTATCTACAGTATTAGCTAGCGCTTAGAATTATTGAAGCAAAAGTTACAGTTATCCTTGAAGCCGTTATTTATAATACCATCAAAAATTACAACAAATGATACAACAGCTAACACGGCTGACCATTGCATTGATCACGGTGGGTTTAATGTTGTGAGACCTTAGGCATAACGAGATTTTAAATTGGAAAGACTAGAGTACAGAAGTTTCTAACGTTAAATACTTACGACCTAACATTGGGAAATGAAACACCTTTTCGAGCATTCTAGACTTCACACATTCATTGCATCTTCTGCTTAAATTATAAGGCACTCAAAACAATCACCTCACATGTTTTAACTTACTTGGCTTCCTTGTGGAACGGCTGATTGAACATCGTCCAAAATGATCTCAGTAAACACGAAAACCGTTATCACATCGATATTTAATCTTCAACATTATGAATAATCTATAATTTTTTTAGGAATATCTGATTGATTGAATTTTTGAAGTTTTTCAGTTTTTTTTAAACACAGTTTTTTGAAGAAATCGTGTAAGGGATAGTGTTTTAAATGAAGCATTTTCATTTCAGTTAAAAAAATTCGGCGTAGCTAAGCGAGACACAGCTATCAATGGAACATGTTTCGGAACCCTCCAGTTGTAAGCGAGGGACCAAATTTTTTTTCTTGTGTTGAATCAGTAATTTCAAGGTAGTGTATTTATGATATGGAATGCTTGTCCATGGTATTTGTAGTTTAAAAAGGTATACTAACGATGCATTTTTCCTGTTTTCGAAATGAAAATGTGAGAGGGATTGTCAGTCTTGATGTCCCTGTAGATCCAATTTCTTATCTACATCAAAATAATTTACTTAAATGTATGTTTTAGTTGCCTTCGTACCGCCCAGACGAATGAATAATGTACCGGTTACCGACCCTAACTGCTGCACCAGAGGGCCTGGGTTCCA